ACGACAAACGGGGACGGAAGGAGGAAGGAAGAGGAGAGCCGGCCGCCATTAGCCACCGCAGCCCGGCCGAGCCCGCCCGCCCAACCGCCCAGCCCCAGCCCGCGGCTCGGCTCGGCTCGGCTCGAAGCCTGAAAATAAAACTCATGTTTAGGAGGGAGGAGCGAGCGCGGCCGGGAAGACAGGCAGCCCCGGGCTGCAGGCGGGAGAGATGCTGCGTCATGCTGCCAACATGGACGCCGGCCTTTTGTCCTTTTTTGCTTTGGAAGCGCAGGCGCACCCCGGAGCCCCGAAAAGCCTGCTTCGGGCTGCGAACTCCCCACAATCAAAAGAGAAAAAGGCCCTAGGCCGGGCGGGGAGGTTTCCTCGACTTTTGAGCTCCCTATCTCCAAAGCATTTCAATTTCTTCTCCCCACCAAGACTCAGACCTGGGGAGAGCGAGGGGACGAAGGCAGCTCCATGGATGCCCCAGGGTTGCTGGGAAGACCCTCTTCTCGCCTCTGCGGCAGAAGAGGCAAAGGGGTCTGAAGGGCCCTCCTCGTCCCCCTACTCCCCGCTCCGGCTGCCAAACACAGAACTCCAGAAACCTTCTCCCCTCAGCTCCCAACAATTGCAGCCTCTGGCCTGCTTGAAAAAGGATTTCCTCGAAGGGGCAAAAGGCACTTTTTTTTTTTTTTTTTTTTTTTACCCGCTCAGCCCGGTGCCATGGAGTCTAGAAGATCAAGCTAGGCGGTGGTTTTGGAGATGTTATTATAAAATATCTTTTTTTTTTTTTGATTGTTTAGTTGGGAAAATTGGGGGTTATGGTGGTGTCTTTTTTGTTGTTGTTACCTTTTTGTAAGTTTACACTCATGGCATTTTCTGCTCCTTCCACTTCTGCAAACTTTCCACGGTTAGGTTGGCAAAAAAGGCGGCTTCGCTGAGGACTGTTTACTGCTCTGGACATAGCAATGGTGTGATCGTCATTAAGAGACAAAAGGCGAAAATACAGTCAAATCAAACAAAAGGCAAAAGACGCACCAGCCATCCCAACCACCATAGAAAATACCCCCGAGTTAACGTTGGTGTTTGGCTCGAACCAGCTAGGAATTGTTTTCCAGTTTTAATCTAGTTTCCTGTGGCGGCTTTAGTCTTTGTACACAAAGAGGTCTTCCTTTCCTTCACCCACCCCCCCAACCAAGACGAGAAAAACAGAGCTGTTTTTCTTCAAATAGATCTATTTTCAAAGAAAGTGTACAAGTTACTGGGAAGAAGGCTGACTAACATTTATTGCTGTAAACATTTTCAAAAGCTTAAAGCTAAAACCTAAGGTTTATCTAAGCAAAACCGTCTAAAAAGCATTTTAACTGGCTTATATTAGACAAGAGAGAGACAAAGACATACATGCAGATGAAGGTTCGGAAAATTAAGGACATCTCAGCAACATTAACATGAAAACTGCACTGCGTAAGGATAGAATGGATTGGGTACTTACAATGTAAAAGGTTTTTAAAAACTTAAAATAGTAACAACTGCTCACAATTTTTTGTTGCTGCCATTTCGCTAGTCCTTATTAAACTATACATTTAAAACATTACCTTGTTAAAAAGACAGAAGGAGTTAATAAGATGGCCAGGTTTAAGTGTTTAATAGAGGAAACTATATTTTAAAATTTATTGTTCAGTCAAGAGAATACAGATTAAGACAGCTCCAAGCTCCCCCCACCCACCCAAGAAAAAAAGAGGAAAAAAATTAAATATGTTATTTACTTAGTTTTTTGGAATTCAAAACTGTTAACTGCTGACATTAATGGTGTGCTATGACCTAGTTATACAAGACAAAGATGGATTCCAAGTCATAAAGAAAAATCCAGATCTTTTAAAAAAGTCTTCTTCATTCTTCCAATTGTGAGTCCTTTAGTCTGTTGACAAATGTTAAACAACACACTGAGGCGTCCTGAACTGGATGGTGGAGTCAAAGGAAAAACATTCCCCATTTGCAACAAAGGAAAAACCCACTTGGCCATTTAATTCCATTGCAGAAAAATGGCTCCCCTCATCTGTTGGCCTCTCCTTGGTGTCTGATGAAGGATGTTTTGAGATCAGTGTCTAATAACTCAAGCCCTATAGAAGCCCCGCGCTGATTGGCTGCCGTGCCCCGCCGCCCTGCTCCAGCCAATTACCTACCCACGGCCAAATTACAAACCCCGAAAAAAGCCCCAATATGAAATACACCACCACGGAGCCCCAGCGAGGCGGCTCCTTTGCCTCGGCCGCCCGAGACGAGAGGCAGAAGGGGCTGTAAACGCGTCCTCGCCAAGCCCGGGAGCCTCGCAGTTGAACTCACAAAATGGAAGCCGCGCGCTGATTGGCCGCCGCCACTCCCGGACCTTTAATAAAGAAAGGGGAAGGAAAAGATAAATGCAAAAAAGGGGGACTCTCTTCTCTGCTGGTGGCTGGAGGAAGAAGGGGGGGGGGAGAAGCATGTGTTCAGGACAATTACAGGGCGCTCCCTTCCAAAAATAAAAAAATTAAAAAAAACAGAGAAAAAAGCTTCTATCGCCCAGGTCCAGGCGAGGGCTGCATCCTCCCAGGAACGTGAATGCTAATTTGGTTAAAATCCTGGTTTCCCCACCCCAGCTCAGCTCCAGGGGGGTAGGGAGGTCGCGGGGCCGAAGAGGAAGCCGGAGCGGAGATACCTCGATTGCAACTCGTCGTGGGTCGACGTCTGTCTTCCCACAGCTCTCAGCGTCCAAACACACAATCACCCCCCGAAACCTAGCCCTTTCCCTCGAGTCCCCCAGCGCCCACCTCCGGTCTTGGTAGTTTGGAAACAGTTTTGGAGGCCCGAGGCGCACGCCGCGGCGGCCGCGGCTCAGAGGGTAGCCCCGGCCGCGGGAGGTAGAGCCCGGGGAGACCCCCCTCCCCCGCCAGCTAAGCCCCCCACCTCAGTCCCAGCAGAATAAATAAATTAAAAGGCCTTCCCCCCGGGAGGGGGGAGGCAGTGTGGGAGCGCGCGAGTGAGGGGTGGGGGGCCGCTGGGGCCCGGGGCTTTGGCGGCGCAGCTGCCGCCGCCGGGAGAGTGCCTGGGGAAG